GAGGTATTTGAGCAGTCACCCTTTAGACGCATCTCATCTATGACGTGCTCTGGTAGGGTGGCTCTCAAAGAAGAGGAACTAACAGCTTCATACAGAACAAACCCTGTTCACAGGGTTGCTGATTCAGAAAGCAAGGCAAGAACTTGCTTTCTAGTATATCCCCAATGATACTAAGCTGCTGATTTGGAGACCGTACTTTGAATGCCACTGTTAGCCTCTCTGATGCCTGGCTATGCTTTGAAGATCTTTCTGGACTATCTCATACACCCTTAGTGCCACAGGAAAAGGGCTCTTTTGTATGAGAAGATTTCGTTCTTGAGTATTCCTGGTCCTTTACTTTGCTTTCTGCTACACTATCAGATTAGCTATTTGGGGGGAACACTAGAGGTTGAGAGGAAAAAATAAAATGAACATTGGGCTTTGGATCAGGCTACATACCTCAGGGGTATATTTTACTCAGCTCTATGTCATATGACTTACCTAAGATTGCTTCTAAAACACACACACACACATTAAATAAGTGGTTTATTTAATGAAGAATAAGCTTCATAATAATGGATATTAAGGAAATTGTTAAGTGAACTTTAGACTGCCACTGTCAATGTCAAGGAGTACCACATGCAAATCATTCAAGGAACCGGGCCAAAAATATTACATCGGGCACTGATTTTATGAGAAGCAGCAGGTAGGTGAAGAAGAGAGGACATTCATACATAAAGAACCTCAAATGTTTTCAGCATCTTATTAGCCAAATTGAAGTTCTTTAGCTATCAGCTTGCAAATTGCAGATCATTTCTTCTCAATTCTGTACCTTAAGGATAAGAAAGGGAGAAGTTACTGAGCATTTTTAGTTTGTCATAATTCATATTGCTTATAATTTAATTAGGAAAAATGTGTTCATCATGAATAGTGTGGCATCCTTTTCATATGCACAGTCTTCTCTTAATATCTATGTGGGATTGGTTCTAGGACTTCCACAGATGTCCAAATCTGAAGATGCTCAAATCTCTTATGGAAAAGGGCATAGTATTTGTATATGGCCTGTGAATATTTTTCTAAGTGCTTTAAATCATATCCAGGTTACTAACTGTATTTAAAATTCAGCTGCTGTGTAAGAAGTGGTTGTTGTACTGTGTTGCTTAATAGTTTATAGCAAGAAAGCAGTTCATATACATTTAGTACAGGCACATTTGTTTTTCAAACATTTTCTTTCTCATGTATGTTGAAGCCACAGATGTGGAGCCCATGGATACAGAGAACTCACTGTAGCCTAACAGCTCATGATATGTTGCTTCTAAAGCAGCTGACAGGGATCTGTACCTCCTGCTATTCATACTCTAGTGTATTTTTTCCTTTGAATGTGAATTGCCATGACTTGCTTCTTACAAAGATAATATGATGCAAGTGATGAGACTTCCAATTTCATTCCTCCCACCCCTCCTTCCTCAAGCAGAGCAAAGTCACATGTCAAGGAATTATAGTAGCCTCTAGCTAACTTTCTGCATCCTCTAGATTGAATTTGAAAGTTGATCCTTTGCTGTGGATATCGCTCGATATAAATAAAGCACTGATTGGCCAGTGACCAGGCAGAAAGTATAGGCGGGACAAGGAGAGAGGAGAATTGAGGAAGGTGGAAGGAAAGGGAGACCGGCTGGAGCCACTGCTGAGACAAGGAAGGTGTAAAGTACTGGTAAGCCACGAGCCATGTGGCAAAGTAAAGATTAATAGAAATGGGCTGAATATAAGAGTGAGAGCTAGAAATGATAGGCCTGAGTAATGGCCAAACAGTTTAAATAATGTAAGAGTCTGTGTGTTTGTTTTAGAAGTGGGCTCCGGGACTGGCGGGACCTGGTGGTGGGAGCTGGAGAAAAATTCTCCAGCTACAAATGGCGCCCAACGAAGGATCTCTAGCCAGGTCTTCAAAAGAGACCACAAATGTAGCTAACACCTTCATTGTAACCTTCTGAGACAGGACCTAGCTGTCACAAGATTCCTTAAACTCATGTTAAGTCAGGAGTCACTGTTGATACAGTATGAAATATTTGGCCCAAATAAGATCTGTTAACACTGGACGTTTTGTCAGAATTAGGTAGTGAGCATTAGGAAAATTCAAATCCTAAAATCATATTCAACTGTGATGTGGAATCAACTTGAACCATCTCAATACCAGTCAAGAATGACATGTTATTAGCATGAAATCTGTGTGGTGGGAATATTTACATAATGAAAATAAAAACAATACATTTTTGAGATATAATTTACTAGCACACCACTGTACTTCTGAAGTTCAACCACAAACCCTATAGCTCTTTATTCTTGACCAACATCAAAAACTTAGCAAGCAACAGCAGAGTGATCTGGTGTTGTCAGCACTAGGGTTACCTATGCTTTGTGTACCATGGGGCATGTTGTGCTTCACCATCCTTTAATGGATAGAGTATTTGACTCCAAAGAGTAAATAAAATTCTAGATAGAATTTCAGCCCGTGACTGTGAAATGCTCCTATCTCTAGTTACCGATGGAAGGATTCTGCCTCCTTCCTTGGGCTAAATTTTGCCCCTGGAATAGTTTTGTCATCTGTTTCAAGTGAACCTTCTGGGCAGGACAAAAAGCCAAGCTAGACACCCTGGCATTTGGTCCCTGTTTATGATTAACTGTTTGCACTTAAAGAAACATTCTCTTTGAAATGGTTTTTGTCTTATCTGGTGAGGAGGTTGATGAGAGGGTGCCTCACTGATCTCCGACTGTGAAAAGCTGCCAGCATCAATGCTAGGGAACTGCTGATTATAAGGGACACGTTGAACAAGGTCAGTTTGCACTATGGATTATCAAAGGCCCAACAAGTGACCAAGTACGTTATGAATCTTCATTTGCAGCTGGAGAATTTTGAGGGTATGCCTGGGGGGGAGGATCACCTGAGTTTCTATAACTGACACTGGACAAGGCTAACTGATTTCAAACCAGTCTATTCTAAAGCATGCTTCTTCCCTCTCAGATGAAGTTCACCTCTTCCCTCTTCCAGTATTGTCGTAAAGAGATCTTAGAGGAAACTGCACAGGTCACATGTCATAATGTTCTGTGAGGAAATGCTCGCTGACCTTGGCCTTACTTGTTATCTGCTGTGGTTTAGGGCCACGTTTTCATCTCTGTCCATTTATGTCATACACTTAAAATGTCTCCACTCTCTGTGCTTGCTGCCTGAGAAACATATTCTACCCAAATTATAAGTCTTTCATGTTCTGATGACCTTGTCTCTCTACCTTCCTATCTCAGAGAGCCAAGAACAGTGGCTGCCCCCACATCTGGGCTCTTGGCTATGCCTATGGATCATTTCTGTACAGTGAGCCTTGGAGAGGAGAGAACCCCCACCAATCTTCTGTCAAGAACACTTCCTAGGAAAACATGGGGGTGGGGAGGACTACCACTGTTGTTCTGATCTTGGTTTTGTCTTTTGCAGCCTATATAATCTTAGGAGAGTTGCCCAACTTTACGACTGCATTTGCTTATCTGTGAAATAGAGTATTAGTAATATGGCCCACTTCATAAGTCCTTGTGAAATTAAATGAGTTAAGACACATGAAATTTTGGGGGCAGTGCTAAGTGTGCAGAAATAATGAGTTAAGGCTACTTCTTGTAGTGTATGAGCCAGCTGTTAGGGCTGCTTCCTGGACATACTCATGTAAGATGGAATGCCTGACTGTGTACTGTTTAACTTGTAGCCAGCCTGCTTTTTTATTTATTCAGCTTGCCTTTCACTCATCAAAAGTGTTGTATTTGCTATCTGTTACTGTGTAACAACTTCTCCCGAACTTAGCTGCTCAAAATGCACGTTTATCACCTTAGTTTTTAAAGTCCAGAAATTTGAGAGTAGTTTAATAGTGTAGTTCTGGCTCTGGGTCTCTTGTGAGACTGTAGTTTTGTTAGATTGGGTAAGTCACCTCTGGACTCAAGTAGAGAATCATCAGCTTCCGAGTTTACTCACAAGGATGAAGGCCAGCCTCAGTGCCTTACCATAGGTCCTCTCTACAGACTGTTTAGATGGCCTCCTGGCATGATAGCTGGTGGTTCCAGAGAGAGAGACAGAGGCAGAGAGAGACAGGAGAACCCAACACAATCTTTTTATAGCCTAACTCAAAAAAGTGATGTCTTGTAACTTCTGCCAGACCCCCCCTATTCACTAGGAGCACATCATAAGTCCAATCCATTCTGAATAAGTAGAAACGGGCTTCATCATAAATGGGAGCAATTATTGTAGAGATTGCGATGTCTTTCAAGCTAGCACAAGTATCTTTCACAGTCTAGAATCCATGGGTATTTCAATTTCAATGGATTCTATAGAACAGTGGTTCTCAACCTTCCTAATGCTTCAACCCTTTAATACCGTTCCTCATGTTGTGGTGACCCCTAGCCATAAAATGATTTTCATTGCTACTTCATAACTGTAATTTTGCTGTTATGAATCATAAAGCAAATGTCTGATATGCAGGATAACTGATATATGACCCCTGTGAAAAGGCTGTTTGACCCCCAGCGGGGTTGTGACCCACAGATTGAGAACCACTGCTGTAGAACAATTAACACAGTTGCCAAATGACAGCAGACTGAACTGATTTCCCGAGGTCACACAGTTACCTGGCCACAATGAGCAGAGTCAGCTCTCCTAACTCCTGTCTCTGGTTCCCAAGTCATGTTAATGGGGTCATTCCATTGATGTGTGGTGGTATGTCCTAATGCCCTAGGTTCCTGGGAGGTTAAAATCTATAGCCATTTTCTTGTGACACTGTTCTGTCCAATATGGTAGCCAATAACCAAAAGTATGACAAAGGATATACAATAGAAGTTTTTTTTATAAATGAATACAAATGACTTCATTAGCTACATTTTTACTGATTTTGATACATTGGAATAGCTAAAATGCATTATTCAAATTCATTTTGTTTATTTCTTCTTACTTTTTCAATATGGCTTCTAGAATATTTGAAATCACACACACACACACACACACACACACACACACACGTCTGACATATGTATCCTTGTTGCTGCTCTAGGCTGGGCAGATTGCCAGCCGCATTTTCCACAGTTTGGTCAGCCATTGTCTTGCGTCTATTTCCAGCCATAGTGCTTGAGTTACAACATAATCAGTGGTCTGAGGCCTATGTTCCCCAGGAAAAGTGGGGGACTGCAGAATGGATGCAGGTGCTCTCCATCGTCCGCTCCTGTGGGTCTTTACAAAGGACAACAATAGCTGAGATATCCTGGACAGCTTGTGACAGAGATTGCTAGTGGCAACTGTTGCTTGGTAAGCTCAAAACCTTCTGCAAATTTCTACCCAGTTACCGGGTCCTAAAACCCCTCCAGAGTGAAGAGCTCCAGCAGGACCCATTACGTTCCACGCTCTTGCACCTTTCTTCTTCCTTTCTTCACTCTCGTCTCGACTTTCTTTCCTTCTTATGAATCAACACAGAAAAATTCAAGCCCAGATGTGGCTTTGAACTATATTACAAAACCAAGTGAAAGATCGCATCTCCTTGGCTGGACTGTATGTTTGCAAGATTGATCAGTGAAAGATACCGAAAAACAAACAGTTATGGAACAGATTCTCATCCTCTCACTGTACAGTATTCAGAAGGCCTGTTTGCTCAGGGTTCTTGTTTATACTTGATTTCATGCTAGGGAAAGAGAAATGTCTCATGCATGTTAATGCAAAGTGGTTAGTCTGCACATTCTTTCCACACAATTTCCAGTTCTGTCTCTGCTCCATGCGTTGATCAATGAGTGGGCCACAAAGCCTCCTGCAGGCCTCTGCCCCTAATCACCCTTTTTGTTGACATTCCAAACTGCTAAGCTCACAAATGTCCTGGGAGGACAGTAGCTCCAGGACACTTATTCCCTAAGAGAGAATCCTTGACTTTCACGGTATGTGACTTAGCTATTTTCCCATCCTTGTAAGGGCTTGACATTGTTTCAGAAAATAGTGTCGAATTGGGGAATGTCGTTTCTAGTTTCTTTCTCACTGACCCGTGCCATTCAGTTTCTTCGCTCTCCTCAAAACCTTTTTTGGAATGAGGCAGGATATAAAATAAACAAATAAAAATGTCTCTGAGGTAAAAGGAGGTTGGACAATTTGAAGATTAGTTCTCTCTCAAACACTTGAAGCAAGCTGATGCATTGTGGACTTGGACGACACAGGCCCTGAATACATCTTAAGAGATGAGCAGTGACTTGATGGGGGCACAAGCCATTACTGCCATGTGTTTTGCCAACTGTATACAGCACACAGATCTCAGAAACATCCAAATCTTTGCCCCCAACTGTCTTGAAGTTTCTTTATAGTCCTGATCACTAATCCAATCCATCTGGCACAAGGGATGCAGGGGTCTTCTATGAGCTAAGTTCAAGCCAGACATCATTGGAATCAGGAAACGAAAATGGCACTCTGTGGAAACAGAACATGCTATGTAATGGCATGTTTCATTGTACATGTGTCCTACCTTCATGTATAAGTATATGTAAATAAATGAGGAATGTTGTCCAGAAGGATACCTCACAAGTGTATATCTTCAACACCCCTCAAAGGCCTGTGAGTTAAAGTTGAGGGACTCGGGTCTTTAGCTTCTCAGACACAGGATAAAAGAATCTGCTCTGCCACTCATTCCTGCTAAGATCTTTGCCTGGGCCCAGGCCCCAAATAGCAAGGCTAATAGATCCAGGACCTTGTAACAGCACCATCTGTGTGTCCGAGGGCTGAACATCTGACTAATGTGCTTATACTAAACACTGATTACTTCAGTGGAAGAAGGCTAACTACAGTGAAAAGTGTATTCAAGTTGGATTTTGCCATTTCAGAAAAGAAAACAAAAACAAAAACAGAAAATACAGGAAGCCTTCTACTGTGGGTAAAAGATGGTGGGAAATAATGAAGGGTCGAGTCAGAAAAGACATTTCCTCTCTATGGAACTTTCTGGAAGGCAGCATTTCTAACAGTAACTTGGAACAATAAGTCACAAAAACAGAGTGAAGTTGGTGTCGAGTGATGAAGGTTGTTTTTGGACTTTTATGACAATGTAGACAGAATTAGTGCCTGGGACAGAAGCTCATAAGCAGAGAGATGGTGGTAGTGCAACGTATGTCTGGGGAACATTTGGACATATCTACAGATATTTTTAGGGGAGAAGCCTGGTACCTAGTGGGTAAAGCCAGGATATTTCTAAGGATGCTGCTAAGAGTGCAAAGTCTGCCCCTGGCAACAAATAATTATCCAGTACAGAGAGAGCATCAAAAAGTGCTGAGGCTGAAACACACTGAACTACATACAGCAAGTCGACACCCTACCTGTGGGTCTGGAGGAGCCTACATCAGACATCCAAGGACAAGGACAATGAGTGTGTTGTTTTTGTTCTTCATGTTCATAAGAAAGTTCTTTGCTTGATTAGAGAAAATGGAGTTTCAAGAGAAGAGAAGCTGAGTAGAAAAAAACAACATGGCTACTGCCTATGAGCCCACTAAAAAGGTTCAGAAGAAAAATCACAAAAGGCAGGCTTATGAAGCATTACTCCTGATAGGGAAGGAGAAAGCTGTCATCCCTGAAGTTCTGGATTACTTGAAGACACCTCTCCAGAAAAACCATATTATGTTCTTGAAATCATGCACATTAGTGCCTCCCAGTCTGTCTTGACCACAATTTTGTAACAGTTTCTGTATTAATTAGCAGGGACCAAGATGTCTTTGGATGAATAAATGAATGAAATTAGAGCTGTCAATCCATAAAAAAGACACAAAGAAAGCTTAACTCCACCTTTATTGCTAAATGAAAGACGCCCAGCCTAAGAAAGCTATGCATTTTATGATTCTAACTATGTGACTTATCTAAAAAGTGAAACAGGAAAATTTTTTTTGACAAGAAAAACATCAGTAGTCATGTCAGACTGAAAGAAGAAAGAGAGGGATAAACAGGTGAAACACCCCATGATTTGAGGGCATTGAATTATTGGGTACGACATTAAAAGTGTGGACAAAAGTTATCATGTGCGGGTAAAACCCATAGACTGTTTGTTCATCAATATGACTCTCATGGCGATGGTAGACATTAGTCAATAGTAATGGATAAAGATTTCATCATCTGTATCACATGAGCCACACCAAACACAAGATGTTAAAATAGGGGCAAGGTGGGACTCTTCACTTTCTGCTTTCTCTTTCTGGGAACCTGAAATGTGCCTGAAAACAATGATTATTCATGAAGTATATAAACTAAATACACATGGAGATAAAACCTAACCACAACTGAGTGAATAGGCCTGCCTTTGATTTCTCTCAGTTGAGTTTGTTCTAGGGAAATGCTTTTTCCTAGCCAGTCTCTGAATATTGTTGTTATCAAATATATTGTGCAAAAATTACTACAACAGTTAAAGTACTGATGTTATCATAGCCTTTTGCTCATAGTATGTACATCAGTGGCTCTTCAGCTAACAAAATAAAGAGGATATAACTTTTTTTCCTTGATAGTCTCTGGGCTTTAGATAACAATGAGTGTCCTTATTAACTTTGGATGATTTTGATTTGACCTGTTTTCTGGATGTAATTGCTGTCTTGGATTGGATAATCAATAATATCATTGGGCCATGAAGAGTTACCTGGAGTTATACAGTAAAGAGTCAGGCCTAGTTCCCCAGGTTGTCTGGATAGTGTCTGGGATAGACAGGCTAGACTGAGAACAGAGGTGTGCCTGACAGAACCAAATGTTCCCCAAACAAATAACTTTATCTGATGAAACTATAGCTCAAATATGAAAATGACTGAATATAACTTCTGTGGTTAAAAAAAACAAAACAGCATAAAGAGTAGGAGGCTTGGCTAAAGTTGAACTTCGGGCCGTGAGAGATCCTCACAAGCTTAGGCCATGGAAGGGAGTTGCAGGAAGCTTTCAGAGGTCATGTTTTTACCACCCAAATTGCATATGAAGCATAGAGCACAGGGACCTTGCTTCTAGAACTATATAGCTACAAGACAATAGTGGAAGCCAGTTTTCTACGTGCAAGCACAGGGACCTTCTAATTACCCTTCACTGTTGTCCATTCATCTAACAAATGCCTGCTCTAGCCAAGCTTGTATGGAATATAATGAAAGACAGGGTATGCAACCTCTTTCTCTCTCTCTTTCTCCTTCTCTCTCTTTTTCTCTGTCTCTCTCTTTACTATCTTTCTCTTTATCTCTCTATTATAATAAACTCTCCATGTGGATGTAGGATCTGGTTTGTGAATGACTAGCTGCCACCATGCTTGCATGGCATGCATCTGCCCAGCCTGCCACTGCATCTGCCCAGCATGTTTCCCTGCATTCACAGGATACGCTCAGGGAACCCCCATGCAATAATTCATAATACCACTTGCTCCTTCTGTTGTTGATCTGCATAACAGTGACCAATAATAACCACATGACACAGTCAATACTAGGCTGTCTTGAAATCTTCTCTGCCAATGACATTAATCAAAAACTCTTCAATTTAACCTTCCATAGATTTTTAGGATAAGAGCAGAAAGCAGACACATTCTTAGCCAAAATATCACAAGAATGGTCTCTAGGCTAGCTGATAATATTCTTTCCCTCTGAAACCTCTTGAGCTGGGCCCTCACAGTCCGCATCACCCTCAGTACCATTGACTTTGATGATCCTACTAAGATGGACCATTAAGCCCTGCTTGAAGCATTCAACTGCTTTTCTAGTCCCAAATCCTAAAGTCTTCCATATCCCTCCAACAAACAGCATTTTCAAACCAGTCACAGCAATACTTCATATTTGGTATCAACTTCTGTCTTAGTCAGTGTTCTATTGTTGTGAAGAGACACTTGTGGTGATACTTTATTTGTGCTCTAACAAATAAAGGTTATCTGGAGATCAGAGGATAAAACCAGCTACTATATTAAATATAGAGGTCAGGCAGTGGTAGCACACACTTTTAATCTTAGCATTCGGGAGGCAGAGATTCATCCAGATCTCTGTGAGTTCAAGGCCACACTGGGAACAGAGCCAGATGTGGAGGCACACGCCTTTAATCCCAGCACTAGTTAACCATAGAGGTCTGGAAGTTTATACAGACAGACAGGAAGTGATAGAGTTGGCAGAAAGAGGAAGTGGTGTAGCTGGGTGGGGAGAGGAAATAAGATGGCAGGGCACAGAAAGGTATATAGGTGTGAGTATACAGAAAGTAGCTCTCTCTTGGGCTGAGGATTTTGTAGCAGTAAGAACTTGTGGCTGTGGCTTGTTCTATCCTCTGATCTCTCAGCTTTCACCCCAATATCTGGCTCCAGGTTTTTTTTTATTAATAAGATTGTTTAGCAATTCATGTTACAAACACCATAACTAATGCAACTCTTATAAAAGAAAATAAACATTTACTTGGGGGCATTTACTTACAGTTTTAGAGGGTTAGTCATTCTGTTGGGAAGCAAACAGGCATGGTACTGGAACAGTAGCTGAGAGATTTGCATCCAAATCCTCGGGCAGCATGGAGAGAGAGAGAGAGAGAGAGAGAGAGAGAGAGAGAGAGAGAGAGAGAGAGAGAGAGAGAGAGCGCTGGTGTGAGCTTTGGAAAACTCAAAGGCCCACTCCCAGTGACACACCTCTTCTAAGGAGGCCACACATACTCCAACAAAGCCATACCTCCTAATTCTTCTCAAATAGTTTCACTCCTTGGTGACTAAGCATTCAAATATATGAGTCCATGGGAGCCATTTTCATTCTGACCACCATAGATACATAGATCAAAAGCAGAGGAGGGTTTTTTTCTGGAGATGAGAGCCCCAGGATAATACTCTATCTAGTTCTGAGAATATCACAAGAGAGCTAGTCATGTGAAATACTGATAGCTGTGTGAAGGTCCAACTCATAGCTTCTGTGGGATTAGTGAACTGACTAAATCACATGCCAAGAGAAAAGATGATAAATATTCTTAAGTTTTCTTAATAAGAAAAAAGGAAACCAGAATCATGAAGATTCTATGAGAATTTCAAGGAAAAGAATTACTTTCTTATTAGTAGTTGTTTATTTTTTATTATTACCCCATCAAAATGCATGCCTAAAATTAAGTCATGTTTAACAACTTCCCTTGATTTATAGCTTTTCCTATTTAGTATCATGCATAAGAGGCTACCCCAAACCTTAGTGGCTTAAAAATGATGCTGATTTTCTTTGTATATTGTTGTATACTGCAGGCAGAGCTTAATGGGAATAACTCATTTTCATTCAACTCAGTGCTAAGCAGCTCAAGAGAGGAGCTCTGATATCACCCATTAGCACAAGTGATTCAAGGGACTGCCACTGGTGTAGTTGTTCATGAGAAAGGCTAGTCCATTTAAAAATATCTCAAGATAGGATGGACAATAGGAAGTCGTCAGTAAATAAAGAACATACATGCTTCTGATTGCCTGCCTTCATTGTGCCTTGTTTGTCCAGGTTCGTTGTCTGAGAGTGGTAAAGGTAGAGGGGGCCATCCTACCAAGACTGTAGTAATGGGTATAAGGTGTGTAGATGAGAAACCTGACCAAGCACAGAATGCCAAGACTCCATTTAGAGAGAAGGGAAATACATCTGTGGAAATTAATGAGAAATGCAGATATTCCATCAGAGTTCAAGAAATTGGAAATTGATCAGGCCAGAAAAAGATCTAGAGAAATATGACAGGGGGCAAGTTTCACAGAGTTTGCAACATGACATTTAGAATGGAAAGGAATTTGTTTTGCTTTCTACACCAGGAGAACAATCTTCATATCACACGGCAAAGGAAGTGTCCTGACTTTCTTGATCCTGGTGAGACATCACCAGAACTGCCATCTTTGCATGTGATACCTTCTAATAACAGGAGAGAAATAACTTGTTCACAATTTAAGAGCCTGTGGAACGCCTTTGGACCTGAATTTACTTGGTAAGTAAATCAAATCATCTTCTCCTTCTGGATGTCTTAAGTCCCAACGATCACCTTAGGACACATTAGGAAGACCATGAAAATTCTGGAAGGTTCCAAAGGAAATGTTCTTTCCCCTAGTATATGAAAGTTGAAACAGCCAAGTAAGGAAGGGAATGTTTGCTCTTGGAGGGTATAGAATTTCAACCATAGACCAGAGAAGGCACTCCATCCTCAGAATGCTTGAAGTTTTATACAAGGCCATTCATGACCCATCCTACCTCAGGACACATCAGACAAGAGCAAGAGTGTTTGATTATGTTTCCAACCATGAATTTTCTCTGGCCTCATCAGGCAGGCTTGGAAAAGATGAGGCACCATCAGCTTTTTAGTTGTTGGGTGATTAGTAAGGGATGCTCTTCCTTGTCAAGAAAAATTGCCAAAGCATGGAATGCATTAAACAAAAACTCTTGCCATATCTGCATGTGATGTTTTAGTGATGCATGTATCCTCACTGCAGTCAGGATCATAACCATGCCCACATGTCTTCTGGCGTCATTAATGAACCCCCCTGGATGATGAAGTGGTGATGCTATTCCCTTGTGTTTACTTTCTAGCAGCTCCAGATGAACAGTTTTTGATTATTGTTTGTACTCTGAACTTCGGCTCCCTGCTCGCCCTGCTCACTCTTCTTCTCTCCTGGCTCCCTCCTTTCTTTCCCTACAGCTGTGCCTCAGCTCAGGCTGCTCTAAGAAATACCATACAAGTGGCTCATAAACAACACTTTCCCATGGACCTGGAAGTCCTGGTTGCAGGTTCTTGTGAGGGTCTCTTCCAGGTCTAGACCGCTGTTGTCTCTACACCCATTCACAAGGTGGAAAAGCAAGGCCTTCTCAGAGTGCTAATACCATTCCTGACTGTTCTCCCTTCATGACTCCATTTCCTTCTCCAAATTCCAGTTCTTAATATCATCACATTAAGGGTTAGAATTTCAATGTTTAAAAATAGAGGCCACAGAATGATTGAGTCCATTGAAACCTCAATCTGCCTTCTCTTACCGTTGCTTCTTCCATTGTAGACTGTTTTACTTTTTATTAGCCCTTTTGGGTTTTAGTCTGAAGCATTCTTCTAATTAATCTTAATCAATAAAAAATCGGGAGTCAGATGGGAACAGACGGTCTGAATAGGAAATGTGCATTCCCAATAGTCATTCCTTTTTATCCTTATTTCCTTATTTTTAAACCATCATTTGATTTAAACACAAGAAATTCTTCTTCAATGGGAGTGTGCAAAATGGCATTATGATCTGACATACCTCAGAGGTATCTTTTTCTCTGTAGAGGACAATGTATTCTGCTTTTGCTGAGTGGACAGCCAGAACCATATCCGTGACTGAGTTTAGCCACCACTGAAGTCCTATTCTATGTGTCATTCTCTTGTATTACATATGTTGGTTACTTTGAAAAGTACTTTAAAACTTACTCTTTATTTATCGAGAGATAGTTGCAAACAGCTCAGGCAGACTTCTGACATGCTAGGTTACCTGGAATAACCCTTGACTCCTGGTCCACTTGCCTTTACCTCTCCAGTTCTGGGTTTACAGGATGTACCATCATCAAGCCTGACTTAAATACTCTCCCTAAGGACTTTTTATACTAATAAAAACTCTGGGAAAGCCATTTGTCATCTCTACCTCTTAATGTTTTTAAAATAAAAGACTTTGATTAAGTTAAACCAAGCTTATTTTTTTCTAGCTCTGATGCTGTAAGATTACATGTATAGAGGCAAGATTGCCCATGAATGACGCATAGTTGAATTCAGTAAAGCTTCTGAATCAGTAGATTTTAAACTCTTCTCGTTTAAGAGCACAAATAACTCAGTCAATTGAGAAAGTTGATATATTAGAAGGTTTCAGTTGTGAACATTTCCTCTCAAAATAAAGCAATTGTTGCTTAATAAGAGTGTTAAGTCTTCAAATGAATAGGAGCATAAATGTTATTATATAGAATATATATAGTAAACCAATTTTGTCAATGATATATCTCAATTACAAAAATTTTTAAAATATTCCCATTATTAATTAATTTATTAATTTAGACAAAGTCTCAATATGTTGCTCTGGCTAGCCTGAAACTCATTATTCAGACAGTTCAAACTGACCTGACTTCACAGAGATCTGCCCTCTTCCTCTTCCCAGAGGCTGGGATTAAAGGTGTGTGCCGTTATGCCCATCTCGTACCCAGTAACTTTAAGCCCTTATTGAAAATATTAAATGTGTATTAGTAAAAAGGTAAAGAATTTTTTTAAAATAGTTAAAACCGTAAAGAATGTCCTAGCCTTGCATTATTATCCATGGGCATTTCTGAATCAGCAGGGAAAGCTCCACAAATAGACAGATTTGGTTTCCTAGACATTGTTTACTTGGTAGTGGTTGAGTGGGAGGAGGAAATGGGAGGTAAGATTAGGGAGAGACTGTCACTTATAAAAACTGTGGATATTATTAAGCAATAATTCTTGGGGACTGCAGAGCTCATCAGCTCTGAAATAATCTCATAGCAACTCTGCTAGATGATGGATGAAGCATATTTTGGTACTTCATCATAAATTTAATTCTGATCACATTTAGCTTAATGATATGCTTCCTCTGAGTGTAAGGCAAACACACACACACACAAGAATATATAGTGACAATGCCAGCTTCCCAAAAGCCTTTTTTAAAATTAAATTAAAAATAGGAAGTCAGAGAGGAAACGAGAGCTATGGCATTGACATCCAACTCCACCCTGGTGTGACTCGTAATTTGAACATATTCTTAGCACAAAATTAAATTTATAGTTGCCCACATCGAAACTGAAATTTCTGAGCTAACTAAGGAAGCTCGTGTGTGAGTAGCAAGTATGGAATTTGTCCTCTAGAAATAGACTGATGTTGATCATTTATATAAGAATCTCAACTCTTTCAACATTTAATAGATGTTTCTATATCTGTGTTTCTTGGCAATAAATTAAAACAATTTTTAAGCTATGCCAGTGAAGAGATAAGCAATGAAGGCATTCGGCTTCCATCAGTTCAGTCTTGAAATTTCCTACTTGCCTTCTTTTTTTCTAGCATAATAATCTTTTTGTTTTGTTTTGTTTTTTGTTTTTTTTTTTTTTGTTTTTTCGAGACAGGGTTTCTCTGTGTAGCTTTGCGCCTTTTCCTGGAACTCACTTGGTAGCCCAGGCTGGCCTCGAACTCACAGAGATCCGCCTGGCTCTGCCTCCCGAGTGCTGGGATTAAAGGCGTGCGTCACCACCGCCCGGCATAATCTTTTAATCTAATAATTAAATGAATTTGCAAACCATAATGAGTAGCGAATGGTGAGTTTCCAGAATTATGCTAAGACAATGGACAGACAGTTTCACATTGCCAGATATAGGTGGTCATAGGTGTTCTTATTCTAGATTTCCACTCCTGGGTGTGGCAATAACAGAGAGAAAGACAATATGCACTTTAAGATCATTCTCTGGTGAATTATTTTTACTTAGTGTCATTTCTATAATTGTTTAATTTATAGAAGGAATGGTTGCTCATTTTAGAATTTCAGACAGTGCAA